ATTTGAAAACAAAAACTAATAAGCGATGAGATCTACTAGCAATACTTTTGTGGGATAGAATGGTAATAGCAAGTAAAGAGTCAAATTCAATTTCAATCCTTTTAAAACCCAACTAGAGAGCTAGCTCAAGTCCTATTTTAATCTCCTATAACTCAAATGCATTATTAGTTCCATGTCTAAGGTTTTTCACAAAACCTCTAATCTAATTACCATAGTAATCACGGAGGATGCCTCCAGCACTAGCTTTACCAGGATTTGAAAGTGAGGAACCATCAAAGTTAAGTTTTATCTATCCAGTATGGGAGGAAGACATTTAATGGAGACAAAGCTACATGAAGAGTTTGGGATTGGGTAAGGGTGCACAGACTAGAATTTCATGGCAAAAGCAAGAGATTTAGCTAGGATATGCTAAAGGTTGGTTTGATGTTTAAAGCACAATAAGTTCCTATCATCCCAGATACACAAACAGATTGAGCAAAAAAGGGTGGACTAAGGAATTCAAGGGTGAGCCAACATGAGGGTAGAAGAGCAATTGGCTTAGAGCTAGTTAAAGAGATCATGGTTGAAGCTAAGGAGGAGGGAGCTTGGGATGGGAAAAGAGCTCAAAAAGTGAGAAATAAAGAGGCAATCATAAATGAGCTGAATGGCAAATTTAGTCAAGGAGTTACATCTTGGACATGTGGCAAGGATATGGAGAGCTATGTTGGCAAAAAGAAGACGAGAAGCAATGCGATCATGAGCAAAGAGCCAAATGAAAACCTAATCTGTAGGATTGTTGGACTTTTCCACACTCAAAGCCAGTTATTCAATTTGAATGAAGCATTGCATAAAAGTTTGTAAGCAAAAAAGATTATGAAAGAGTTACTTGGGGAGTTCTTTCACGCAAGAAGATCATTTTCATTTGGGTTGGTAAGGTCAAGGTAAGAGATGACAATTCTTTCAAGAGAGGGGAGAAGGACACAATAAAGGTCACTAAAGAAAGACCGAAAAGCAATGGCATCAACTATAGTAAAAGAAGATTCATGTGGAGAAAAAAGGCCAAAGACACTAAGTGATTAAGCCAGAGGACAACTAGTCATCATGGAGGAAATTCACTTGATGACATTTGTTGATGAACCAAGTAATTCCTTTATAAAAGTCTACGAAGAGAGTGGCTATAATTCTCCAACTGTGGGTACACATATTACGATGTGGGTGATTTGAGTATTTTGAATTGAAGAGGAGAACCCATGGGCTCTGGGTTTGAGTTTTAAATCTCTAGATAAGTTTAAGAAGGCAAGCAATGTTAAGTTTATGGCACTTCCTAATGCCCAGTCCCCCTTGTGATTTTGGTTAACAGACCGTGTCCCACTGTCACGCCCCAAAACCCAAATCCGGGGACGTGGCAGACGCTGTACACTTGTGAGAGGGTCCCACAAATGCACAAGGCTCGGGACTTACTGAATTCATAATTCCTAATTCAGATAATTTTAAAACTCAAGTAATATCTAGTTTCTAATTACCAACTTCTTTCTTTTTTTGTCAAAATGTACAACAATTTATAACTTCATTTATATAGTCATGACTATAACTAAGGGTGTTTTGTACACAAAAATTTCTAAGTCAAGCATGGGTGACTAACGGCCTAACTACAAAAATCTAAGTCTAAAAGTGCCTAGCCGTCTAGCTCGTCACTCCCCTGGGCTCCTCATGCGTCAGGTCTCACTACCTGAAATGGTGGACAAGGAAAAACGATAAGATACAATATCTCAATAAGTAAAAATATGGGTAGCCCATGAGTAAAATTTAAGCATGCCTGATAAACAGTTTAATATAACAAAACATTCACTGATAAATCGTTAATGCAAAAGAAAATTTAGTAGTAGTCTCATCTATAAGTCATGGCCAGCGTTTATAAACCTCCCATTGGCGGGTACAGTAGTTACCAATGTTTTATCCCATTGGTAAGATTACAGAATGGACCGGTCCTATCAGTAAACATGTTGACATGTGCTAGCGTTTATAAACCTCCCACTAGCGGGCACAGTAATCAGTAATCATGACTAGATCCGAGACAAAATCATGCAGGATTTACAAGAAAAATTCGTAATTCACAATCAATCTCAAATCATCAGAGCAATTCAGTAAATTTCAAGTGGGCATGCTCTATTCAATAAAAACGAAATTAATTCCATTTCAAATCAATCATGCTAAGTGCTAATAAAATCAATTTAAACCTTGCCACCATTTCAAAAACAATTTAAAATACATTTTGAATCGAAGGGCATTACCATAATTTACTTACCTCAATCACCTAACATAGAAAATTCACTCTAAGTGCTGGGGTGACAGGGCAATCAAGAACCTAATCACAATATTTCAGAATTAATACCTATAAAGAAATTTTATTTCTTTATTTATTATTTATTTTTATTTTTTTCTTCTATCTAAAATTTGAGCACACAACATTAAATTGTGCATTTATATATATATATATACATATATATACATACTTACACATATACAATTTTTCCAAATTCATGGACAGGAAATGGGATAACCGGCTTTGACAAAAATGGCTAAGTCAAGGAAATATTTATTTATTTCTTTCTTTCTTTCTTTCATACAACATCACAGCAACCCAATTAAAGGATTTCATACATAATTTGACTTAAAACTCATTTCAAGGTTGCTAGAATTCATCCCCTACTTCTAGTAGATTTTTGAACAACACCGGCACCCATACAACCAATTAAACTCACAAGGCAGCAATTAATCAACCAATTTTCGAAAATTAGAGAAGCCAACCTACCAGAAATTCTCAGCAAGCAAGGCTGGAGCTGGCGGGTATGGGGAAGAGCTGGCGGAAAAATTGGGGGGCTTTCACGGGGACTACTAGCAATTGAAAGAAACGAAAATTAGAGTGAACCCACATAAATCAAGGCTGAAAAGAGGAGATTCATGGCTGATTTTTACCAGGAAAAATCGAAGTTCACACCCAGCAGCAACCGGCGGCAGAGGAGGAAGAAAACAGCAGATTTGGAAAATTTTCTGCAGGGGAGAAGATTTCTAAGTCCTAAACTTGTTCTTGAACAAGAAAAGAACAAAAATCATCAAATTCTTTTACCGATTTCTCAGGTGGGGGCGTCGGTGATGGTTGGGTTCATTTCGGCTGCAGGAGAGAAAAGCAAGAGCAGACACGCGAAAATGGCTGGGGAAGAAAGAAAGAAAGAAAAAAAAGAAAGAGAGAAAAAGTCAGCCGGCCTTATCCAAAATCTTTTTAACCCCCTGAAACTTGAAAATTTTGGCTATTAGGTTCATTAATAACATTTCCTCACCATTAAGTCCCTAACTTAACTTTCATGTTCTTGAAAATTTTGGGGTATTACATCCACCCCTCATAAAAAGGAGTTTAGTCCCCTAAACTCATACCTCAATCTTGGAAGAGGTGCGGATGTTCCTGCCTCATCTTGGATTCCAACTCCCAAGTAGCTTCTTCAACCAAATGGTTATCCTAGAGGACCTTAACAAAACGAATGGTCCTTCTTCGCATTATCCTCTCCTTGAAATCTAAAATACGGATTGGGTGCTCGTCATAAGTGAGATCCTCCTGGAGTTGAATTGGTTCGGGATTAATGATGTGACTCGGGTCGGGAACATACTTCCAAAGTAAGGACACGTGAAACACATCATGAACACCCGCTAAATTTCCAAGCAACTCCAATCTATAAGCTACCTCACCAATCCTTTCCAAGATAGGATATGGTCCAATATACCTCGGACTCAATTTTCCCCGAATGCCAAACCTGAGGACACCTCGAGTGGGTGACACCTTCAAAAATACAGGGTCACCAACTTCAAACTCAAGGTCTCGTCTCCTTCTATCCACATAGCTTTTCTACCTGCTTTGTGCAGCACGAAGGCATTCCTTAATCAACTGCACAATCTCAGAAGATTGTTGCACCAATTTTGGGCCTAAAATGCTTCTTTCGCCCACCTCTGTCCAACAAACAGGTGATCTACACCTTCGACCATACAAAGCCTCAAACGGTGCCATGCGGATGCTAGATTGATAACTGTTATTATATGCAAACTCAGCCATGGATAAGTGTTGATCCCACGAACCCTTCCAATCTAAAACACAAGCCCTCAACATGTCCTCAAGTATTTGAATAGTTCTCTCAGATTGCCCATCAATTTGAGGATGGAAGGCCGTGTTGAAATTTAATTGAGTACCAAGTGACTGCTGCAAGCTTGTCCAAAAATGAGATAAAAATCTAGTATCTCTATCTGACACAATAGACACAGGGACTCCATGCAGCTTGACTATCTCATTCATGTACATATTGGCAAGCTTCTCAATGGAGGTGCCAGTCCGGTAAGGTAAGAAGTGAGCTGATTTGGTAAATCGATCAACGATGACCCAAATGGAATCATTACCTTTTAAGGTTCGTGGTAAGCCCATCACAAAGTCCATGGTAAGCCCGTCACAAAGTCCATGGTGATGTTCTCCCACTTCCACTAGGGAATAGGTAAAGGCTACAGTTTCCCAAGAAGTCTTTGGTGTTCAGCCTTGACTTTCTGGCAAGTCAAGCATTGTGAGACAAATCTAGCTATCTCCTTCTTCATGTTTCGCCACCAAAATGTACTACGCAAATCACGATACATCTTGGTGCTACCTGGGTGAATTGTATAGCTGGTATAATGGGCATCTCCCATAATCTCACGCCTTAAAGCATTATCTCTTGGTACACACAGCCTGTCACCAAACCACAGAGTTTCATCATCAGAAATTCTGAATTCTTGCATGTGGGGTTCCCTGGCTCTTACTTTTTCCCTCATCCTCTACAAGAAAGGATCTTTCTGCTGGGCAAGTTTAATTCTATCTATTAATGCCGGTTGTGCACTGAGAGTGGCTAGATAAGCTGTAGTACTGTCCATTCTCAATTCCACATCCAGTTTCACAAGATCCTCAAGTAACTCCTTTTGAGTGGCAAGGATGCTAGAGGCAGTGCTAGAGGACTTCCTACTCAACGCATCTGCTACTTTGTTGGCTTTGCTTGGATGGTAGCTAATGGTCAAGTCATAGTCCTTCAAAAGTTCAAGCCATCGCCTCTGCCTCATATTAAGCTCCTTTTGAGTGAAAATATACTTAAGGCTCTTGTGATTGGTGAAAATCTCACAAGTCTCACCGTATAGATAATGCCTCAAGATCTTGAGTGCAAATATCACGGCTGCCAACTCCAGATCATGAGTAGGGTAATTTTCTTCATAAGGCTTTAACTGCTGGGAAGCATATGCAATAACCCTATCTTTTTGCATCAAGAGACATCCCAAACCCTTTTTAGAGGCATCACTATATATAGTGAATCTTTCCCCATTAATTGGAAGTGCAAGTATGGGGGCAGTGACCAACTTATCTTTAAGGATCAAAAAGCTTTTCTCACACTCTGGAGTCCACTTGAACTTGGTGTCCTTCCTAATAAGACGGGTCATTGGTAGAGCAATTCTAGAGAAATCCCCCACAAATCAGCGGTAATAACCAGCCAATCCCAAAAAACTACGGATTTCTGCAACACTATTCGGCCTTTTCAATCAACCACGGCCTCAATCTTCTGGGGTTCAACCGAGATTCCATCCTTAGTCACAACGTGACCTAGGAACGCAACATTATCTAGCCAAAATTCACACTTCTTAAATTTAGCAAACAGCCTCTCATTTCTCAGTGTCTCGAGAACTGTCCTTAAGTGCTTTTCATGAAGAGCATGGCTAGAAGAGTAGATCAAAATGTTGTCAATAAAGACAAGCACAAACTTATCTAGGTACTTGCTAAACACACGATTCATCAAATCCATAAATCTGGCAAGGGCATTTGTCAAGCCAAAAGGCATGACTAGGAATTCATAATGACCATAACGGGTACGAAAGGCAGTCTTTGACACATCATCCGGTTTAATCTTCAACTGGTGGTAGCCAGATCGAAGATCAATCTTAGAAAATACCTGGGCACCCTTGAGCTGGTCAAACAAGTCATCAATTCTAGGAAGGGGATATCGGTTCTTCACAGTCACCTAATTTAGTTCCCGGTAATCAATGCATAGCCTCATGCTCCCACCCTTCTTCTTAACGAACAACACTGGAGCTCCCCAAGGTGACACACTAGGGCGTATAAACCCTTTTTCAAGGAGTTCTTCCAGCTGGACCTTTAACTCCTTCAATTCTGCAAGAGCCATATGGTATGATGCTTTGGAAGTAGGTCCGGTGCTAGGAACAAGGTCAATAGCAAATTCAACCTCCCTATCCGGAGGTAAACTTGGGAGATCCTCTGGAAATACATCCAGAAATTCACGCACCACCGGTATGTCTTCTAGTTTCGATGTCACACTACTGGCATCAGCAACGGAGACTAAGAAACCCTGGCAACCATTTACAAGATATTTCTGAGCCTACAAGGCAAATATTAGCATGGGTGGAGCAAAAGAACCACTGCCTTGGAAACTAAATTCTGGCTCACCAGGAATATTAAAAATTACCCATTTTCGATGGCAGTCTATAGAGGCAAAATATTTTGACAACCAATCCATACCCAAAATGATATCAAAATCAGAAATATCTAAAACAAATAGACTAGCACTCAACTGTCTACCATCAATATAAATATCAATAGTCCTACACACCTTCCTAGTAGTCATCACCTCTCCTAAAGGGGTGTCCACATGCAGTTCACAATCAGAGGTATCAACAGGCAAAACTCGTTTCAAAGCATAAGATCGAGCAATAAAAGAGTGCGATGCACCCGAATCAAATAAAACATGTGCATAATCAGAGTTAATATGCAAGGTACCCGTGATTACGTCGGTAGCCGCAGCTTCCTTGTGAGTCATCACGTGCACTCTCACATGCTGGGCTCTTGTCCTAACCCCGGTACTCTGTTTCTATGCCCCTTGATTGGTAGAACCCTGTGGAGAGGTAAATGGAGTACTCTGAGCTCTAGGGTCTGATTGTGGGCAATTAGCAATCCGATGTCATTGCTTGCCACATCTGAAGCAAACCCCAGTAGTAATGTGGCATTGGTTGCGAGTATGCCCAACTCTTCCACAAACGTGGCAAGTAAGCTGAGTAGGAGGAGCATGTTGGGCTGCTGATGCTTGGCCCACAGTCTTGGTAGCTCCTGGCCCTTTAGAACCCTTGCTGATATCAAACTTAGGCGGTGTAAGAACAAGGGGCCTACGGCTCCCATCAAATTTTCTCTTCCCAAGGGATGGCCCAACACGATGCTGTCCTGAGGACTTGACTGTAGCCATAGCCTTCTCCCGATCTATGGCTCTGTCTGTAGCCTCTTTATAAGTGGCGGGTTTGAATTGATTCACCGCCAGATAAATATCGGGATTCAAGCCCCATAAAAATGTTTTAGCTTTGGCTAGCTCATCCCCAACCTGACTACCCACAAAAGGCAGATAGTGGTCAAACTCCTTCTTGTACTGCTCAATAGTACCTGACCTTTACTTTAGATCTGCAAATTCCCTTTGTAGTTCCTGCCTTTTGCTATCTGGTATGTACTCTTGCATGAACACCTTTTTAAAGCCATCCCAAGTGCTCAATTCAGGCTCTCCTTGGTGTAGCTTCAGATAATTCTCCCACCAAGTTAATGCTTCACTAGTAAGCATATAGCTGCCTACATCGACCTTAAGGTTGTTAGAAATCTTCAGTAAGCGAAATCCCCACTCCACCTCGGTAATCCACAACCCCACCTGCTCAAAACCTGCGGTACCATCAAATCTCTTGGTCACCACCTTCTGGAATTCTATATAGACCTTCCAACTAGACACTGCAGGAGTAGAAGAAATAGGAATAGGGGAAATTGGAGCAGGGGCCGTAGGAGTGGAAACCATTGGGGATGGAGGTGGCACACTTGTGGCAGGAGATGCTTGGCGTCTTATCTTTGCCATAAGTTCCTAAACAAAAATGGCTATATGAGGATTACTCGTCCCTCCCTCCTATGGAGCAGCTTGGGCAGAGGGACTAGCATCTGGGATCGGAGGAGTGCCCTGATCCTGACGGCCACCCCTCGGGCGCCCACACCGTTTTGGAGCAATCTATAACCACATAGAAGGCTTATAGACTATTAATCAAATGCTCCAACGAGAAATTTCCCGGTAAGTTTCCACTTCCGGGACCAAGCAACACAAAAATAACAAGACAAAGAAAAACCAACACACATTAAGGAAAGAATCAGACAAGTGCCTTTAATTAACCCCACTCTCATGCCTCACCACGTTCCTATAATTCATTGGCTAGCTAAGTTCTAGACTAGTCCTAGGCACTTAATTAAACCTAAGCTCTGATACCACTTAACTTCTCACACCCCAAAACCCAAATTCGGGGATGTGGCAGATGCTATACACTTGTAAGAGGGTCCCACAAATGCACAAGGCTCGGAACTTACTGAATTCATAATTCCTAATTCAAATAATTTTAAAACTCAAGTAATATCTAGTTTCTAATTACCAACTTCTTTCTTTTTTTGTCAAAATGTACAACAATTTATAACTTCATCTATACAGTCATGACTATAACTAAGGGAGTTCTGTACACAAAAATTTCTAAGTCAAGCATGGGTGACAAACGGCCTAGCTACAAAAATCTAAGTCCAAAAGTGCCTAGCCGTCTAGCTCGTCACTCCTCCGGGCTCCCCATGCGTCAGGTCTCACTACCTGAAATGGTGGACAAGGAAAAACTATGAGATACAATATCTCAGTAAGTAAAAATATGGGTAGCCCATGAGTAAAATTTAAGCATGCCTGATAAACAGTTTAATATAACAAAACATTCACTGATAAATTGTTAATGCAAAAGAAAATTCAGTAGTAGTCTCATCTATAAGTCATGGCCAACGTTTATAAACCTCCCACTGGCGGGGACAGTAGTTACCAATGTTTTATCCCATTAGCAGGATTACAGAATGGACCGGTCCTATCAGTAAACATGTCGACATGTGCTAGCGTTTATAAATCTCCCACTAGCGGGCACAGGAATCAGTAATCATGACTATATCTGAGACAAAACCATGCACGATTTACAGGTAAAATCCGTAATTCACAATCAATCTCAAATCATCAAAGCAATTTAGTAAATTTCAAGTGGGCATGCTCTACTCAATAAAAACGAAATTAATTCCATTTCAAATCAATCATGCTCGGTGCTAATAAAATCAATTTAAACCTTGCCACCATTTCAAAAACAATTTAAAATATGCTTTGAATCGAAGGGTGTTACCATAATTTACTTATCTCAGTCACCTAACACAGAAAATTCACTCCAAGTGCTGAGGTGATAGGGCAATCAAGAACCTAATCACAATATTTCAGAATTAATACCTATAAAGAAATTTTATTTCTTTATTTATTATTTATTTTTATTTTTTTCTTCTATCTGAAATTTGAGCACACAACAATAAATTGTGCATTTATATATATATACATACATATATATATACATAATTACACATATACAAAATTTCCGAATTCATGGACAGGAAATGGGATAACCGGCTTTGACAAAAATGGCTAAGTCAAGGAAATATTTATTTATTTATTTATTTCATACAACATCACAGCCGCCGAATTAAAGGATTTCATACATAATTTGACTTAAAACTCATTTCAAGGCTGCTGGAATTCATCCCCTACTTCTAGTAGATTTTTGGACAACACCGGTACCCATACAACCAATTAAACTCACAAGGCAACAATTAATCAACCAATTTCAAAAATTAGAGAAGCCAACCTACCAGAAATTCTCAGCAAGCAAGGCTGGAGTTGGCGGGTATGGGGAAAAGCTGGCGAAAAAATTGGGGGGCTTTCACGGGGACTACTAGCCATTGAAAGAAATGAAAATTAGAGTGAACCCACATAAATCAAGGCTGAAAAGAGGAGATTCATGGCTGATTTTTACCAGGAAAAACCGAAGTTCACACGCAGCAACAACCGACGACAAAGGAGGAAGAAAACAGCAGATCTGGAAAATTTTCTGCAGGGGAGAAGATTTCTAAGTCCTAAACTTGTTCTTGAACAAGAAAAGAACAAAAATCATCAAATTCTCTTACCAATTCCTCAGGTGGGGGCGTCGGTGATGGCTGGGTTCATTTTGACTGCAGGGGAGAAAAGCAAGAGCAGACACGCGAAAATGGCTGGGGAAGGAAGAAAGAAAGAAAGAAAAAAAAAAAGAAAGAAAGAAAAAGTCAGCCGGCCTTATCCAAAATCTTTTTAACCCCCTGAAACTTGAAAATTTTGGCTGTTAGGTTCATTAATAACCTTTCCTCACCATTAAGTCCCTAACTCAACTTTAATGTTCTTGAAAATTTGGGGGTATTACACCCACCCAATAAGATGAATTCTTCACTTATTAGGGTCATCAAGCCAAAGGAAGTCACAAACAATTTTATCATGAGTTTTGGTGGTGGAAGCAAGTAGAAGGCAACATTGCATAACATGAAGGGGGAGAAAACAAAGGGTTGACTTGATAAGGGTAAGATGACTTGCCTTAGGGAATTTGGATTTCCAATTGGTAAGCTTATTCTTAGCTTATCTAAAATAAAGTTAAAACTCCTCTTAGATGTTGGAGAGTTCAAAATAGAGATGCCTAAATACTTCCCAAGATTAACAATTTGTTCGAATCCTAGAACAAAACAAATGTGAATACAATTAGTTTGATCAGTATTATGTGAGAAGAGAATTTTGGATTTTCTGAAATTAACAGATTGACCTGAACAAGAACAGAAGGATTCGAGCATGGTTTTAATGGCCATGGTAGTAGAGAGATTAGCTTTTCCAAAGAGAAGGATATCGTCAGCAAAAAAGATATGGAAGAAAGATGGA